GTTTAGTACAACTTTAGTTGTGGTTTTATTTGTATAATATAAGATGGAAGTCAAGAAATGTTTGCAGAAATTTTGTTTAAATTTAAAGACACTAAATGTAATTTTATTTGTTTACAGTTCAACCAGCATCAGCATCAAGCTGTGCTGTGTATGTTCATTGGGCAATAAACAACAACAACAAACTTCACTCTTATGTTCTTTGTAACAAAATATTTCAGGGTTTGACCAAAATGACATGAGAGAATCCATCCATCCATCCATCCATCCATCCATCCATCCATCCATCCATCCATCCATCCATCCATCCATTATCTTAACGCAGTTCTTCCTTTCAGGGTCAGAGGGGTCACTGGTGCACATCCAGCAGTCGCAGTACAAGTTGTGAGGTACAGATTTGACAGATCGCAAGTCCATCACAGAGCCACGGAGAGACAAACAAGACATTCACACTCTCACTCACACATAAAAACAATTTAGGGTAACCAATTATCTTAATATGCTAGGGTTTTTTTTTGTTTGTTTGTTTTGTTTTTCTTTTGGTCTGTGGGAGGGAGCCAGAGTACCTGGGGAAAACCCACTCATGAATGGAGAGAATATGCAAAGTCTACCAAGAAAGGTCCCCGGCTTGGATTCCATCGAGCAAATTTCTTGCTCAGAGGCAACAACTCTACCAAGAGAGCCACTGCACCGCATGAGGGAATTTTAGGCCTTAAATTTTTCAACCATCCCAAAGAAAAAGTGTGTTTATGTAAACCTTTTGCACTGATTATCAATTGTCTCAATTTGAAATTGTGACCCGGTCAAGATCGTATATTCTTGACCAGCTCATGAGGCTCGTTGCAGGCAGATAGAATATTATAAGCTTTCCTGCTCTCCCACTCTAATTTTTATTCATCTGCAATGTGGTGATTAGATGGAGTCAGGACTGCAATCAAGTATTCACACAGGACAGAGAAGTGCAGCGATGAACATTGATAACATTTGTGTGAAAAGCCGCACCGTGGCTTTTCCAGCCTTGTGTCCTCCAGGATCTATTTATCCAATACACTAATGGCAGTTAAATGACAGCAAAAAACTTGTTAGCTTTCATTTGTGGGGTCCTTCGTGACATTAGAAGCTGGTAATCACACGGAGGTGGGGAGAAACGGGCAGATGGTGAGTCTGTAGGAGTCAGAACGTCACTGGATGTGTGGAACACGGTAAGGGTAAATTCTCTGATAAACTGCAAAGAATGTTATATGTGCATTTTTAAGTTGACTTGATCTGGGTTCACTGTTTTCATAAACTTCATATTTTCATTTGCTTGTGTGGATTTTATTAATTTTTTTCTCAAAGATAATTTAGCAAGTACGATGCAACCTGGAATGAAATTTGAGTTTAACCATCACTGTAAGATGTGTTAATGAGTCTGAAAAGGTAGAAGTGGGGGCGGCGGTGGTGGTGGGGTATTATTGCTTTTGTGTTATATTCAGTCTTTAGAAATAATACAGCAGAGCAATATGGAAGTATGTAGGTCAATTGAGTATTTAAAATTCATTCATTCAGAAACTTTTAGAGGAAGTTTGGGGAGAAACACTTCACGCCAGTTCCTTTGTCAATAGCCTGAATAGCTTTTGAATAAGTGTGGCAGGTAGCATTTAACCAACTTTATGGGGAAAGCGGAGACTGGGAGACGTGTGAGCGCAGGCTGTGTGCCGATGCTGCCACGGATTATAGCATAGGATCATTTCCATCCACACTCACACTCCAGTGGCAAAGTTAGCTTGGCAGCAGAAAACCCTGAGCCCAGACTGAAGCGGCACATTTATAACATGTGCTGCATGAATGTTGATGAAAACCGTCTGGGAGTCCGGCCAGACCTTTGCACCTGCTTCAGCCTCAACGCCAAACACACAACATCTGGCAGATATGAACAATAGATAACAATAAATGTTGCATCAGATTTTCATTTCCTTTTCCTTTTTTTGGTGTCCAACTATACTCATAACATCTTTGAGGTGACACATGCACTGAGGCATAACCCAGAAAAGTAATAACGTCATAAAATGCATCATCTTGATTTAAGTAAAGGTCTAACAATGTTTTCAAGGATTGCAAATCCAATCTTTTGCAAATATAAAGACAAACATACACACACGGGTTCTTCTATCTTCATGGGGACTTTGCATTGGCATCCATTCATTTTCTGGTCATTTCTATGCTATCCTGATTCCTTCCCCTTTTTTTTCTGCTCTCAGCAAAGGTGGATACATTTCCCCTCTCTTGGGAGCCTGTCTTGTGTATAACTCACCACCTTTGCTGGCTTATATGTTTCTCTATGCAGTTTTTTTTTGAAAACTTATACTGTGTCCTTGTTAGGGACATAGTATGATGCTTTGGCATCTATCTAGAAGGTGACCTATTATGATCAAAGGTTTCCTATTGCCAGTGACCAATGTGGGTGCAACTCCTACTTTGGTATTTTGGCACCTGGCATTCATAGGTGGTCTCTCATTAAAGTACTAATCAGGCCTGATCCTGCTTAGCTTCCAAGATGAGACAAGATCTGATGTGCTCAGGGTGGTATGACCGTAGTATGAGATGACGGCATCTGTTCTCCATGTGGTTCTTTTGTTTTGTCTCTCTCTTGAATGGGTTGTTCTGAACTGTAATTTCCATTTGGGATCAATAAAGTATTTTTGAACTGAATTAAATTTTAATTGAAACCTAACCACCCCATATATATCTAACCCTAAACCTAACCTTACCCCGAGCCACACCTTGGTCGTAAACCTAACCCCCCACCCAAAACCACCATTTAGATTGAACTGGGCTTTTGTCCTCATGATGATCAGTAAGTAGGTCCTCACAAGGCTGTGTGTACTGGGAAACTGGTCAAAAATCTTCCTCACAAGATAACAAAAAAAAAAAAAACACACACCGAGGCAACCCTGTTTCACCTTCAGCAATGAGCCAAAAAAGAACAATTTCAGATCTGCTTAACCAACACAGTAGGTTTTTGAAGAACTTTCCCAATTTCTCTTGCAATGCTGAATAGAAACTCAGCAGTAAATCCTTATTATTGTCTTGCTATGTTGATTACATATATGTCAAGTTAAGTGGGAAGCCTTTTAAGGTGTGCAAAAAAAAAAACTAAAGCTGTTTTCAAAGACGTACAGGGGGAGAATTTCTTTGGAGAATTAGGTCCAGACCTTCTCCACAGCTGGTGTTCGTGCACTGCACAGCTGGGTATTTTCTGCCGGAGAAGCCTTCTCACAGCAGGAAGAACTCCAGGTTGATGCCTGATTGGTGTGCCTGTGTAGACATGAAACAAAAAGTAAGCTGTGGAAATCTTAAGGTTTTGTTTTAGCACCCGAGAATCTCCGTTTGGCGTAATGCTGAATGCTTTATGCGTTGAAATCAATATCACAGTGAGTTGGATTCATTCCCAATTTCAAAGTGCAATAAGAAAACATGTTGGGGAGGGGGTGCATTATAGTGAAATATAGACAAAATTAAGGTTGCAGAAAATGTGAGAAAATGACTGAAGCTTAAATAAAATTGAATAACTTCACCTCTTTGCAAAACTCATTAAAACTGACTTTCTTTTGGGTCATTTTCTGAATCTAAATGGGCCACAATCTGGAGKAAATAAAATCTGCATTCAGAATGTAATAACTGGAGGGGACTGGTTGTGGTCCTGTAATAGAATGGACAGTCAACTTGAGAGAGACAATAGGGCCCATGATTGCAGTGCATTCAGAGTAGCTACCAGAAAATATGAGGCTATTATCCGGGGCCAGATGCATGCTATGGTTCAAACAGTGTTCCCTCATTATGCAACAGTATTGTTAGATGCTAATACCTCTCCACACTCTGCTAAACAAACACAAAAGTGGCTTCATGAACACTAAGAAAGAGGCAATTTTATTTTAGAATTCCTGGTATATATTTAGATTTTTTTAAAGGGGACATATTGTGCTTTCTAATCCTTCTTTTTCACATCTAAACATTCAGTTATGGTCTATATAAAGTGGAACTGTAATGCTTTGGTCTGAGTTCCTCATTATTGTAACTCCACAAGCCCATCTTTTACCTCTTTTCTGGGATGTGTCTCTTTAAATTAAAGAGGTGCTTCACACCCCACCCCKCTCCTGCTCCCAGATCAGTCCATTTTAGGTTGATAGAGGGGTTTACAACTCTATAGTGGCTCAGAAACTGAATTCACATAAATATCAAAATTCAGAAAACATCATAAAATAGAGAAAACAGAACACGTTGAGAAATATGACCCAAACAGAATATAAATATACGCAGCAGGAGAGACTAAATTTAACTTTTCTGTACTCCTAGAGACTCCAGTTCACAGAAAAAATGTATTTAATGGCTACAAAAGTGGATTTTGCATGATTTGACCTCTTCAAGGCAAGCTTGGAATAAAATGTGCCAATGTTTTTAATTACATATATAAAATGTATAGAAATTTTAAGGACTGGGATTCCCTTAACTAGGTGACTTTAATGTCAGAGTTTTAGGCTAAGATCATCTTATGTTCAAGAAAAGTCTGGTGTAACCATTTTGGTCAAACCTTGTAAATGTAATGCATTATCAATTCTAGAAGTATATTAAATGGTAACTCTAAGCTTCAATAGAATTCATGTTGGACATTAATACATACTGTATTTTGATAACAGACGTGCACGCYCACACACAGACTTTGGCAAAAAAAAATTGTCCACCTTTACCGTTTGGGAACCAGCAATCATAAAAATGTCCTCAATGTTCTAGTACAAAACTTTATAATTGAATTTGCAGTAACACAGCATCTTTTATCTGACACTCACAATATATTGTTGAGCATCTCGTTTTATTTTGTCAACACATCTATTGTTGGTCAAAGACAAGAATAAACTCCAATAAAAACGAAAGAGACCTCATAACTGTACTTTTGAGCTGTTATTACTACCTTATGCTTGATTGCCCTATTACAGCATCCGGTGATAAACGGGTGWAGAAAATATTAAGGGAAATACAATTTCATCAAACCTCCTGTACAGCCCCAATGATGCCAAATGATCTTTCTCAAGCTTGGCTGGATAAAGTCAAACGTCTTGGTCGCAGACATCAATCCTGTTTATGACTGTTGGGCTCGAGGATGTTTTCTGGCTCTGCTGTTCAACACAGCTCCCCCACAGTGAAAGCTGCAGAGAGGACAGAACGAGAGCGGTTATACTGCAGCTTAGGGCAATACAGCTGTCTACTTCAGCCTTGCACTCATTAAGCATTGATGTAAACAAATAAATGTTGATTTGTATTTATTTCATGTACGTTCAGGCAAACGTCCYTACAATGTTTCAATAAAAGGCAAACCTATGATGGCACAAACATTAGACCTAATGTCCTGGCGCTTGTAAATTCTCCACATCATTGTTACTGATATAAAATTCCAGTGCAGGGATGCTGATGTAACTATTACTCAAATTTCTGACACAGATGATGACATTGTCCATTTGCTGCCTGGACAACCAAAGAAAATTATGCATGATCCGGCTTCTAAGCTGTTTTGACATGGGTCATCTGAAACATGGCCGCATGCCCTGAATTGAACTGCTCTCCAGAGGTACAACTGGATTAATCCAGATGTCTTTCGGTCAGGGCTCGRCTTTGCAAAGAGATCGGCCAAGACGCTATCTCTCTTGCAAAGCCAARGCAGCGGGCTCCATCAAACTGAATGAGTGAAAATCCCGTTTCATGATTTGCACTGAAAGACTAAGGCCCAGGGTTTTCCTTGTTGAAATCTGCATTAACAAGCCYCAGGAGCAGGAGAGCAGTGTGGGCAGAAAGCTCAGCATGTACTATAAGGCTCGTGAATGTCTTGTAATAGCAGTRTGTGTGCTGAGATTGGCCATGTTCAGCAGTGATTGACCAGTAATTTTACATTTTGTAGATAGATTCATGGTCTAGCTCCAGGCTGTAAGCATTGAAATACAAGCATGCAATAAATATAGACAAGTGAAAACTTTTGAACAAACCAAAACAAGCTGTGTGTATCTCTGTGTTGTACTGCATGCGTGAATTAAGGTCAGCATTCTGGCTCAATAATCATGGTAGATTTTTACGTTTAAGTTGTACACAACCAGTGGTGGGCAKCAGTCCGCTGAAGCACAAATCTGCTAATTGTGCACCTAAATATTTCATTTGCGCTTTAGCGATCTTACTKATTTTTYTAATTCTTAAGCAGACTTGAGCTTTCTAAAATTAAAATGCAGTACCACTAATAACTAATTTTCTACCAGTCATCATTATCTTGAACAGTGGAAGTCATGGCTGTCAATAAATCACAACACACGTGATCTATCCAACAGCACCCCTCCCAGATAAACACACTTATTGGAAACGTATACATCCTTGCTGTTGCTTTCAGCCATGGTTCTCATTTCCCACAATGCTTTGTGTCTGCTTACATTGCAGGAAGGCAAAGTTTAGAACTCCCTTTCCCAGCAAAAACAGTTAACGTTTGTAATCCATACTAAAATTTTGCATGTATTGATTTATTTTACTTTACAATCGGAGCTCCTTTTAAAAAAAATAAAGTTTAAACGTTAGAGCTCAATACTTGATGTAATTGGTCGAAGCAATCGGCCAACGGGGTTAGACAGACATCTAGTGGTCAACTGGAGCAACTACATGGAAAACTTTAAAATCCAKACTCTTATTTTGAAGTTTGCAGATAGTTTCCTGTACTTGTGCTTTCGTTTCCCATCACAAATCAAATCCGTCATGTACCCAGAATGCATTGTTTCAGTTTTCCAATAAACAGTTTTAAAATTACTTTATTGATGCTTCTTTAATGAAGAATCTACAACAAAAAGAAAAAGACAAAGAAGCAACCGAACTAGCAATCCTCAACAACTTTTTAATTTTTACACCAGGAGCCAAAGTTCTGTTTCAGGAAATCACATCCCCAGCAATCGGCGGCTGTAGGATTAAGCTGTACAAGGGTTCATACACTACTAGTTGGCAGTGTTGTGTATTAATTGTACATGACTGTTGCCAGCTAGTAAGTGTCAAGTTGACCTTGCACTTTAAAATTAGCTTCCACTAGTGTTTCTATGGCATAAGCACTTTTGAAGTTACGGACCTAAATATTTTCATAAGCACTTTTGAAATTGCGGAGCTAGTTTTTGGATTAGTGCTGCCCACCACTGTWCACTACCATACTTATTTTATAATACTTAAATTGACTAATGAGACACAACAGATGAAGGAGCTTTACAGTGTTTATGTGAGCTTAAGGCATTGGCAATGTGTGTGTGTATGTGTGTGGGGGGGATGCAGCTCAGTAAATGGTCAGTGCAATCATCTTTCTTTAGAGAAAGAATGCCACTAGAACTTTTCCCAGAAGCCCATCTCTTCATTGTACTTTGCCAATTTTACTTTTACTTTTGCCAGTTTTAACATGTTGTGAGTCATTTTGTATTTGTATCCAAATTTTGTTTGTGCGAAGTTTAAGCATAAAGTCATGTACAGGCCAAGTGTTGATCCATCTTTGTTCCAACTACTTAATAGAACAGCCCCAGAACTACTTACTACAGCAGATCTACCCTTTTAAACCCAAACTCCAGTTGTCACAATGGAACCTTTTAGATTTTAGGCTCATGCAACTAAAAACTGTGTCATGCAGAAATTTTTGTTGTTGTTTATTTGTTCCCTTTGTCACAATAAAAACCTTAGATTTCAGCTTTGTAGATGGCTTTTTCCTTCATTTCATCTTCTCAGTTGGAGCCGTTGCTTTGCTTTATTCACTAAAGCGTCCGTTTTCTGCCAGGCCTTTGGCTTTTGTAGTTGTTGCTTCTGACAGTCCATATTTTTGCTCCTTGGGGTGTCAAATTTTGAGGCTTTTAAAGGCCCTTGGCAAAGTAGCTCTAAGTCCAAATAGTTWGAACTTTATTTCAAAATTTGGAGAGGTTTTAAATTATTTCTCTGTGAGAAATGTCTGACATAAATCTACATTTCTTTTGCTGAGATTGATCAAATGATGACAAAGTTAAGGGTATATTTTTTGGGGGAAAATAACATGTAATTTAATTTGGCCAACTTTGATCTTATTCATCCCTTTTTTAACAAGATAAAAAAACATGTGTGGTAAATGATGCAAATCAAGTCCATAACTACCAGGAAACTTTCACCTGAACTGTTCTTTAAACAGAAACACAACTGTCATTTTTTATCACTGAAAACTCAGTAAAGACTTTTACACTTTACAACCCTAATTAAATGGTAAATGGACTGTATAGCACCTTTCTATCCATCCAGGACACTCAAAGCGCTTTACACTACAGACATTCACCCATTCACACACACATTCACACACTGATGATGGTAAGCTACATTGTAGCCACAGCTGCCCGGGGCACACTGACAGAGGCGAGGCTGCCATACACAGGCACCACCGGACCCTCTGACCACCATCAGTAGGCAAAGCGGGTAAGGTGTCTTGCCCAAGGACACAARGACTGAATTGACTGGAAGGGGATCAAACCGGCGACCTTCCGGTTCCCGGACAACGCCCCTAACCACTTTTCCACAGCCTCCCCCACTAATTAGATTAAATCAACCCATGCAAAAGGGAAAGAGAGAAACTGAAAAATAAAAAACAAGAGAAGGAGCAAAAGAGTGTAAGCAAGAATACTGCCTGTGAGACAGCTTAATGGGTGCCAGTGTTGCTGCAGAACGAAAGGCCTTGCTGATGTGCACGATCAGCCTTATGACAATGATATATGATGTTTCTTGGAGCCTTACAGTGTCCTGCTGTGCTGCCAGTGACACTTGGGAGTCTCACTAAATGCCTGTGCCCATGTCAAAGACCCACAATGAAAGCATTGGGGGGAATGTAGGTGAGATAATCCAGTGACACACATCCCATCCTTTTTTTTACAACACTGAGAAAGAGGAGAGTGGATGTTTTCAGGCTGTCTCCTGTTTGCATTTGTTGCATAGTGAATTATTTTACCAAAAGTGTTTTGCATCAGTCATGCTTTTGGTACCACAGTGAGACTTAAATGATACAGTTCATTATTTTTAAATACTATTAATCAGATTTTTACACACGTTTATGAGTCAATGATGAAACTCATTGAACCAAATGGGATAAAAATAGCATGTGGTTATTTGTTAAGGAAAATGACTCGGTGTTGCATGTCTGCTGTGATTCTCACTTCAATTTCTTCAATAATAACTTTGATTTGATCATTCCAGAGCCTTTATTTTTTTATTTTCAATTGGCTAATTTTTAGTATTACATTTTTTGTGCTTTGATTAGTTGCTGCATGGCTTATGTTCAGATAAAATTCAGTTGACACATTTTGACATTTTCCTGTAAAGAATGCTGTGATAATTCAGAGATCATTGTTTTACCTACCCAATAGCATTTCTCAATGATCACCATTATTTTTTCCTAAAAATGAAGTCAGGAAAATTAACTTAAGCTGATGTAAGAAATGTCTATCTTAGAAGGACCAAGACTGATGGTTCTTTTATCTTCCCTTTAAACCTTTGTGGCTGACCAGTTCCAGAAAGGAAAAAAAATCTCAATATTTTGAATTGAAAGGGRGGTTATTCAATGACATTTTCCAGCAACTCCTTTTCTTCAGATTCTCTTTTTCTGAGGTTTTAATATATGTCATAAAATGTCTTTGCAAATGGCTTTGACTAAAGACTAAATTCCTATTTATTAAATGAATCAGAGTTCCCATTCACACCTGATTGACTGATTGGCTTATACTGATGAGAAGTACTTAACGCCACTTTAGACTTTAATAATCCATTAACAAATGATGAAGACTTGAAATGCAGTCAAACAATCCAAAAATTACATTCTACGTTTTTTTTCCAAAGCCTATTTTACATTGTGCAAAAGCAACATGAAATTTAAATCAAAACAGAAGTAGAAATTTGCAACTCTCTGGGAAATGATAGTCACTTTCATCAAGAATCCAACCACACTTAAAAATCTACAAAATTATAGTATTTTGCAGTGCTTTATTCTTAAAGATTTATTACAACAATCGTACAGATTTTTTGTGAAATACTACTCTTTAACTAAAGTTAATCACTTAATAAAGAACWGTGAAGTTTCCACGAAAGTACCAAAGATAGACTTTTTGTCACCTGTCCAAAGTTTTATTTACTTCAATCTGAG